AAACATGTACTAAGAAAAATTTTAAAACTTAAAAAAAGATTAACTGGAATAGCAGCCTTACTCATATAGCCAAAAATCAGAAATCACCCAGGTGATTTCTGGTTGAAGTAAACCATTCACTTCAACAAGTGAATGGTTCATACTTTCATACTATGATTTACTGCTCAGTAATAAAAAGGAAAAAGTTGATTAAAAACAACTTGGATAAAACTTCAGAAAATCTTGCTGAGTAAAAAAAAAAAAAAAAAATTCAACCCCAAAAGGTTGTATGTTATACAATTCTACACATGTAACAATTTCAAATGACAAAACTCTAGAAATGAAAAACAGATTAGTGGCTATCAACCACTAAGCAAAAAGGTCAGGGGGTGTGGCTATAAAAAGGCAGTATGACGAATCCTTGTAGTGGTCAAAATGGTCTTTATCTTTACCAGATCAGGGACAATATCCTTTTTGTGATATGTAGGTACTATGGTTTTTCCAGGTGTACCCAATGGGGAAAACTGGATCAATATAGACAAGGTCTCTCTCTGTTATTACAACTGTATGTGAATCTACAATTATCCCAAAATAAAAAGCTTAGTCTTTTAACAAAGATGATGCATAGTTAATTCTGGAAATAGCATTTTTCAGCTTCCAAGTAACAGCAGGTATGAAAATAGGTCACTCAGATTCTTGGTGTTTGTCTTTTAAAATAAAAGTTTTACTATGGGCAGCCCTCCCCCGCAAAAAAATCACTTGAACCCAGGTGTAGTGGCACATGCGTATAATCCCAGCAATGGGGAGGCTGAGGCAGCAAAATCACTGCAAGTTCAAGGGGAGCCTGGGCTCCACAGTGAGTTCAAGGACAGCCTGAACACAGTGAGACCATGTCTCAAAAAAACACCCCAGAACATCTGTAATCCCAGCACTCAGGAGACTGAGACAGGAGGACTGCTGCAAGTTTTAGGCCAGCCTGGGCTACAAAGTGAATTCAAGGCCAGCCTGAACTGCCCAGCAAAATCCTGTCTCAATCAATCAATCACTCGAGTACACTTTTAGCAACAGAAACACAAGGTGGTAGGTTCCTCATCAACAGGACAACAAATATTCAATATACAATTATCATTATTGCAGTCATCTAGTTCCCTTCAAACGCAGTTGTCTGTCAATCATTCCAAGCTCCCCACCATGCCAAACTTTTTCTTTAATATAGGGACCTTCCCCTTTTAGAAAATTCAATTTATGAACAGTCAGATTTATTCCCCAAACAATGTATTAGTTAAGCAAAAGATGTTTTACTTTTCAAAGACCCTCTATATAGCATGTTTCTGCAGAACATTTCAAGGGATTCTTTTGATTAAAACTCCCTTTTCAAAATCTCATCTACATAAGCCACATGTAACCCTCCCATGGGACCAAACAACTCTTCGAATTTCACACAAGAGTTGAAGGGTTAGTCATGTGAACTGCTGGGCAGAAGTCATCCTGTCTCCTAACTCCTAAACTATTGCTCTTGCCCAAGTCCATCATTTCTGTTAGTCCCACTTTAAACAATTATCTTTCTCATGGAATTCTTTTCTATTTAGACTTGCATTATTACACAGAATTTCTTAAGCCAACCAGAACTCTGCAAGTCACAGCCATCGTGCAATCCAGAGACAAAGGTATTTGGAACAGATGCTTTAGAATACTGATGAGGCGCACCCTAGTCTATAAGCAGTTAGAGGGAAACAGGCCCTCTGGGCTGGGGCTGGCTGCACTCTCCTTCCAGCTGTCACTCAGCGGATGTTCAACTTTACAAGCTATCTTACTTAACTATACTTTGATTTGCCTATTTTCAGCAAAATGGCAAGAAAACAACAGCAGAAATAGTACATTGAGACAACATAATTAGTTATGCTTCTCAAAAAAATGAAGTATAAATTACACATGTGGCTGGATAATTACTAAAACCATTCTAGAATTATCTTTCTTTGGGTTTCAAATTCTTTTCATCATTTACAACCCCTCTGCACAGGAAAGGGGAAGTTTTGATTTGCCTAAAGTCACAGAGCTTGACTTGTGTCTCACCCACTTCCAAATCTTTGAACTGTTTCCTGGTACCACACACTGCCATTACTAATTATTAGGGATAGGGAAAAGAAACACCTTATTTATCCAGCAGGCCAGTTCTTCAACATTAGCACTAATGACATTTTGGACAGAAAATTCTTTCTTGTGGGGGTTGACCTATGCATTGTGGGACATCTAGCAGCATCCTTAGGGCTCCATTCACTATATGCCAGCAGCAACACTGCTCCCTAGTTGTGACAAAAAATGTCTCCAACTGGATATGGTGGCACATGCCAGTAATCTCAGCACTCTAATCCCAGTACCTGGGAGGCTGAGGCAGGAGGATCCCTGGATCACAGCAAGTTCAAGACCAGCCTTAGCTACATAGTGAGTTTAAGACCAGACCAGCCTGAACTACATAATGAGATCCAGTCTCAAAAACAAAACAAAACACCTATTTATTTCACCAAGAATAATCCAGGGGAGTGTCTGCTCTGAACTCTCCTGAGCCCCTTGTCACACCCAGCTCTTCCAACTTCCAGTCACTGAAGCCACTTCACTCAAGCTCTTCCTGTTCAGATGCGAAGCTCCTTGAGAGGAGGAGCAAGCAGGTTCTCACAGTTACACTCCCCTAAAAGTCTCGAACATAATGAGGCTCAGTACACTTTTTCTGAATAAATGGCCGGAGACAGAAGGCCTACAGTCTCAGCCTCATCCTCCAAAGCCCACTCCAGGGCAGATGTTTAAGCCAACAAGGAGATGTGGTTTTTGCATTCGATGTCAAGTTCACTAGCTATACTCACAGAGTTTTTTCTAATTCTCACAATCTGAGTGAGGAAGAGGCAGAAAGACATAGACGGTAGCCTAGTAGCTATAACTTCAAACTACCAAGGATGTGCCTGTCTATGACCATGGATCATGCAACAGAGGCTACATGTATTTGGGTATTTCTGTGCTTGTTTCTATGTGTATGCACTTAAATGCTCATGTACACATAGTGTGTGTAACTCTACATATGTACATATGTGTATCTCAGTTACCTCTATAAGAAATTAAGCAAACATCCATCTGTAAGGTTTCTGAGGCACTAAAGCCAGCACAAGGAGGTCTAAACTGTAGACCCCCTTGCCCCTATATATTAACGAAGCAAGACAAACAATATTTCACGTGGCGCTCCCCATAAAATACCAACATATTTGCCAACCAGTATCCTTGGCACCCTTTCAAGAAAATGCCAAGCAGCCAAGTCTTATTCTTGGAAAAAGTGAGACTCCTGCATGGCAATGGCTTTTTGTTTTTGTTTTTTTTTTCCGGTACCGGGAATCGAACTCACGATGTCGAGCTTGTCAGGCAGGCGCTGTGCCGCTGAGCTAAACCCCCAGCCCCTCCTGCACGGCAATGAAAAGATGTTCCACAAATAGTGGAAGCAGAAAAAGACAGTATACTTTAGAACACTAAATATTAGATTGGAGACTACCTATCAAGAGATAAACTCTGAACCGTATCTATAGACACTGTATTTCTGTTAGAAAGCCAAGATCTCCAGGCTAAACTATTTCCATCCCTCTGAAGGGGGAAAAAAGAAAGACTACACGTAGTGTACACAGAAAGCAGAAGCACTTTTATCATGTCCAGCAACAGACGAAGTCTCCAGGCTAATACGGAGTTCAGAAAGTTACAGAGCGGAACAGTCAAGCGGTCACTTTTCCCAAGGGCCAGACTTAAAGGGAACAGATGCTGAAGGGAAGAGCCCCGGCATAAACCATTCAGTGATCGCTCCTTAACCTCCTAGGCATTTTCAAGCAGTAGAAGGAGGCAGAACCATTTACCTACTGTCACCAGTTTGGCATCGCTGTACACGACATCTGGTTTTTTCCTTCCTAACCTTCTACCTCCATCAATGACATCTCTCTCTACCCGCCCCCCACACACCTCAAATACAATCAATTACCATTCAAGAGACAGAAATTCGTAACCGTCCAAACAATGCATTCAGTTGATGAAATGGGCTAGCCACCTAACACAGACGCCAGCGCAAAATTAAACATGTCAGCATGACCCAGGAAGCTTCCAGGACCAGCCACAATTTCTCGCCTTCAATTTATAGGCACGTTTATCCTCTTTTTTTTTTTTAACAGGTTGGTTCTCCCAATTTGGGGTAATCATGCAAAAGCTTTCCAACACCTTATTCAAGGGACCAGTTGAAAATCTGGAGCCAGTTCATGAGACGTTGGTTTACAGTGAGCCTATTTTTAACCTAGCCATCTCTGCGGAGCATAAAGTGTGCTTGGAAGCCTACACTTGGTCTCTCGTCACCAAACCTTTCCTGAACTCAAGACAAACTGCCTATGCCCGGTAAAAATCTGTATCAAAGCTCCTACACTGCACATATCAGTCATGGCTGAAAACGAACAGAATTTTTAAAATTCTTTAATCCACACCCAAAGAGAGGTGTGAGAGAGGCCGAGAAATAATGGCGACAGGAACAGCGAGTGTCCAAGGGGGGCAGTGGCTTCTGAGACCTGCTTTGGGACAGGCGGGGAGCCGACCAGAGTACTTTTCTCTCCAAATATCTCTCCATCGGCTCACTGACCACGTTTCGCTCCCACAAACTGTTTTCTCCTTACGGAACCTCACGGCATAAGCAGCAGTGCTACAGGGCAGCGAGAGGGCGATGCCTGGGATTCGCTGCAACACGTAGGGCTGGAAAACGTGCAGCTGTTTACTACCAGCGCCGGCAGACGCCGAGCGCAGCGCACGGCTGAGCGCGCCCCTCGGCCGACCCCGCCTCCGCCACGCTCCGCGCCGGG